CACCCACAGCATCAGGTGGCTGCGCTCCAGCTCCGTGCGGTCCAGGGCCCCGCCCGTGAGGTCCGCCTGGTCCGGGGCCTTCTCCCAGTCCTTGAGCGCTGCCTCTGACGGGGACTCGAACACCTCGTCTGGGTATGTGGACAGCTCCTCGTGGAGGACACCTTCCTGAGCAAACACGAGTGGTCAGCCTGAGGCACAGACGGAGGATGGCGGAGGCCTCGGCTGACAGCCCGTCTCTTACCCGGGCGAAGAAGGAGGTGTCCAGCTCATCGGGGAAGTCCGCCGTGTCCTCCTCCAGGAAGCTGGCGGGGGTGAAGCTTCGGCGCTGCGCCCGGCGCAAGGTGCCGTCCCTCACCGAGAGGCCGCGCGGAAGCTCATCTTGGCCACAGACTCACGCTTGCGCCTCCGCGGAAGCCGGTTGAAGCCCGAGCGGGAGCTGGAGAAGGAGCAGAGGGAGGCGGCACCGGGAGTGACGGGCGTGTGCGGGGTGCTCAGGCCGTCGGCGGTGTCATCCGCCATGCGGAAGGCCCGGCCCCGGGCCAGGGGGTCTATGATCTGGTGGAGGGGAGGAGATGCAGGAGTCGGGGGGCTAGGTCGTCACCCCAGAAGCTCCTTCCCCACCCTGTGGAGAACACAGTGGGCACCTGACAGCTATGGGTACCACCCCCACCCTACTGCACCCAGAGGAGTCCCTCTCCCCACTTGCAGTGCCTTTCCGCTGCTGTTCACACTGGGATGCTCTCCCATCCAGAGCTGGCCCCATGGTGCACCCCCAGGTCCCCCTTCCCAGAAGGTATCTTAGGTGTCTCTAGGGGAACCACCTGACCACCCTCCCAGACCATGAGCTCCAAGGAACCTCCTCCGCTCAGGTTGGCTATGTCCCCAGCCCCAGCCCAGGGGAGCAGAGAGAGAGGCCTTTGGGAGGCCGCAGGGGCAGGCATACCTTTTGCATGCCCAGCTGGCATGGCCCGACATACAGCGGAGGGGGCGTCTCCGTGCTGGTGAGCGACACATTGTCCTGGCTGGGCAGGTCCAGCTCCCGGATGACCTGGGGCTTCAGCTTCCCATAGCGCTGGCTGCAGTGGCGGATGCTCTTGCGCTGCCACTTCTGGGTGCTGTCACTGTCCTTGCTCACTCCGAACCAGTCAGCGGTGCCCCTGCCATGGGAGGGGCTCAACAAGGGGGCGCCAGCCCTCTCCCCTCCCAGCGGGGGCCCCAGAGCCCTCCTCCTGGGTAGCATGCTCTACCCCAAGCCTCCAGTCACTCCAGGATCTGGGGTCCAGTGGGCTGGGTTCAGTTAAGAGGATGAGTGGGTTCAGCCCTGGTTACCCCCTAAACCAGTGGTCGGCAAACTGCAGCTCACGAGCCACATGCAGCTCTTTGGCCCCTTGAGTGTGGCTCTTCCACAAAATACCGACTTCTGTGCATGGGCCACAAAGTTTCAATCGCACTGTACGTGTGCGCCTGCACATGGTATTTTGTGGAAGAGCCACACTCAAGGGGCCAAAGAGCCACATGTGGCTTGCAAGCCGCGGTTTGCAGACCAGGCCCTAAACAATTAGCCAACTCCAAATTCCCACTAGAACCGCAAAGAATAGGCCTGTCCAGGTGAGTATTTTACCCAGGCTCACACCCCATCCCTGAGAGGGGGCTTTGTGGGGAGACACTGAATCCAGAGATGGTGCTCAGAGCTCAGCCCTTAGCTCAGTGGTTCTCAACCTTCTGGCCCTTTAAATACAGTTCCTCATGTTGTGACCCAACCATAAATTTATTTTCGTTGCTACTTCATAACTGTAATGTTGCTACTGTTATGAATCGTAATGTAAATATCTGATCTGCAGGATGGTCTTAGGCGACCCCTGTGAAAGGGTCATTCGACCGCCAAAGGGGTCGCGACCCATAGGTTGAGAACCGCTGCCTTAGCTCATCCAGAGAGAGCTTAGCCCTGGGCAGCAGTTTGACCTTTGACACCACAGAACTCAAGAAATGGGTAATGCAAGCCCAGGCAGGCTGCCCACAGCCCTTGGACATGCAAGCAAAACACTGCCAACACCTGCTGTCAGGAGCCCCAGGGAATGCAAACCGTGCTGGCAGCTCCCAAGCCATGCACACGCCCGCCCGCTGATGCTAACACACTCACACCCTGCAGGTACCTGAGCAGGGACCGCGAGAGAGACCGGCGCTGTGGGAGGGCCCTGCGGGCAGCAGGGGAACCCAAGAGGGGCAGAGTGTGGACACGCCCAAAGCGCACCTGTCGGCTGTTCAGGGACCAGAGCATTGAGGTGGGGGAGACAGAGAAGGAGAGAGCAAGTGCTGGGGGAGCAGAGAAGGGTGGTAAGTGAGAGGAGTCGGTCCCCAGAGCAGGAGGAGGGAGGGTGACATGGGGAACAAGACCCAGGAGAAAGCTGAGACAGGAGAGGCCCTGCCCCATTCCCAGCCTCGGCACCTAAAGAGGACCCTGTGTGCCTGCCTCTGTCCCCCCAGCCCCAGCCCCAGCCCCAGCCCTCACCCCTGGAGCAGCCAGGGCAAGGCGCAGTACCTGCGGATGGTCTGTGTGATCGATGTCTGGCGATGCAGCACCGGCCGGCGGGGCTCATGATAAGGGGAAGGGACGTAAGCTGTCTCAGCCGGCATGCTCACACTCCGCAAGAAAGCCTGGCGTCTCAGGGGCTGGGTGACGGGGTCGTGGTGAGGGGGCTGGGCAGGAGGGACCCACAGCCCATGCTGGCCAGGGCCTGCCTGCGGGAAGCTGGGGTCCTCCGCCGCAGGGGGCACCACAGCTGGAATGTCCAGCTTCAGCCAGGGGGGCTTCTTGCGCTGCAGGCTGCTCGTGCTGTCCCTGCGGGCCTCGCTCATGGTTCCGGTGCAGCAAGGCGGGCCTGGGGGTGGCAGAGAAGGGTGGGAGGTGAGAGGTGTCTGAAGGTTCCTTGGGCCTAGACCCAGGAGAAAGGAGAAGCAGTGATAACCCCAACAGGGTGGTCACGATCTGGCTGCTGACGTCCTGTGTGCTCAGCACTGCCGTACGCAGTCAGTCCCCGCCTCGGTCATCCTGACAGACATTGCTGTGCACATACTAGGTCCTCAGACAACATAAATTCATGTGACAAATACTGGAGCACCTACTATGAACCACTCCTAAGTGCTTGGGACACATTAGTGGAGAAAGGAAGAAACCAAAAACAGACAAAATCCCCGCCTTCCTGGAGCTTACAGTCCAGATAAACAATCTATATATATAAAAGCCCAAGCGATCGGCCTACTGGTAGCTATGACACACACTGACCACCAGGGGCAGACACTCAACGCAGGAGCTACCGAGCTACAGTGACTTGGCAACTGCGGTTCTCCGGTTATGCAGCCGGAACCAGAGAGGAGGGAGCCGGATTCGGGGTGCGTCATCCGAGAACCGCCCCCTTGCAATCCAGGACCCCTCGGGGGATGTCGGAGAGCTGGTTTTGGCCTGATCCCTGCAGGCCAGGCCGAGAGACCCCACCAGTGCACAAATCCGTGCACCAGGCCTCTAGTGAATCTATAAGTAGGTATTTTGTTTAAGGGTGCAAAGTGTGACAGGGACAAAATCAGCACATTACAGTTGCCGAGCGCAGTGATGCCTCCTTGTGAGGTGACATCTGAGCAAAGGCTTGAAGGAGGTGATCAAGTTAGCAAGGCTTGGAGGGGGGGCAAAAGGAGGGGGTTGTTCCTGGCACAGGGAACCGCCAGAGCAGAGATCTGAGTGAGCGTGCGGGCACTGCCAGGCTGAGGAGCTCACCCATCCGTACACAGGGCAAATCTGAGACCTCACCCTCTAACCACCATGCCATCGGCTCCAGAGAGAGAGGCTCTGCCCGCTGCGCCCACAGGTGGGGTCTCCGAAGGCTCCAGGTCACAGAGTGGCCACGTGGCTTCCCAGAGTCTGAGAGCTGTTACCACAGGAACCTCTTGAAAACCACCTGGGCGCAGGCGCTGTTATGACCACCAGGGGGTGCCATACGCCCATAAATACCAGCAAAGAAAGCTCAGCCCTGGGAGGGCTGCTTGTCCAGCATCAAACCTAAGTATGAGACCCACCCCCAAACCTATCGCTTAGGCGCAGGGTGAGGCCCAGGACCCCGAGCAGAGAGGCCAGGGTTGGATGTGGGCCGCCTCTGCCCGGCCATGCAACCGAGAGGCAAAGGTCATGGGACCATGGCCCACCTGGCACCCTATTTCCCCCCTTTACAAAACGTCACTTTCAGCACAGATCTGAACCCTCCTCCCCAAAGGACCACACAGGACCTGAAAACAGGGTATCCAAGACTGAGAGGGCTCCCTGAGCACAATGGGGGACATGGACACCAGGGGAGAGGCCGAGCAATACTCAGGGCAGAGACCCCAAAATTCCTCAAAGAGCTTCAGACCCCGACAGGTCTGTAACCCACCCACCAACACCCCTAGAAACAGCTTCCACATCCGAGCCTCCCTCCCCACTGCTTGGAGTAAATGTAGAGAAAGCCCCACCCATACCTTAGAAATAAGGAAACTGAGGCCTAAAGAGGCTTGATTTGCCCAAAGGCACATATTCAGGGTAGCATCACTGGGGACAGGTCTGGGATGCAGCTCACATCCCCTACTGGACTTACACAGACAGAGAAGGGCCAGGACTGTGCTCAGAGCAACTCTGGCTGAGAGCGACCAGGAAAGCGCTCGCTCGCACTGCACAGGGAGGCAGGATGCTGAGCAGAGCTCCTCCTGCCCCACAGACCAGGGACAGGCCCAGGACAGTTCTCACAGCTGCCACTAGTACTACACAGACCAAAAACAGCCTGGACACTGCTCACAGCTCCTCCTGGCCCTATATCGACTGGGGCCGGGCCAGGATGTGGCTGGCAGCTCCTATTGGCTTTAAACCAAACAGGGCTGAGCCCAGAATAACTATTCACAGTTTCTACGGCCTCTACACTGACCAGGGCCGGGGCCAGGACTCAGCTCACAGATCCCATTACCCCTATAGTGACACTACTCACCACTCATACTCCGACTGGCCCTATACCAGTTCGGGACAGTCCCCGGGCACCGCTCACAGCTCCCACTTACTCTACACTAGCCAGGAACCGGCTTGGTGGGAAGGAGTCCTTCAAGGTGCCTTCTCCTGGCTCTTACCCCTCCCATATGGTCCAGCCTCTTCTCTGAGCTGACTATGCACCTAGGGGTCTTTCCGTTCATGTAGCCCCTCAGAGCCAAGCCCCTGTCCTCTGCCCTCACCCGTCTGATTCAGAGCAAGGGCTGAAGCATGTGTTTGCACATCACTGGGAATCCCTTCTGGGCACCCTGCCTAGCTGATCCCCACAACGTGGGGTCAGACGGATGGGTCCTTGCAGGGGGTCGGAGGCAGGTGGGGGGTGGGGAGAGTCCAACATGAAGGCGTCCTGGGAACGGGTCTCTGGGAACTGAACCAGGAGATCGGCACTCGCCCAACTCACACCACAAACCCAGCCCAGACCTGTTGTCCCCTGACATGGTCAGCACCCACCAGCCCGCCCTTCACAGACCATGTAGATTTTAAGACCCCCCTGTTAGTAAGGAAGTGACTGGGAAGGGCAGCTCTGGCTCCCAGGCACTGGCGGTGGGATTTCAGGCACTATCACACAGACGGTGATCAGATAGGCCTTATCTGATAGGGGCTTCCGGAAACTGCAGGGCGGCGACAGCATCACCATGTGCCCTCGGAGCCAGGTCAGGCCACGCCTGCCACACAGGCATCCAGGTGATGTGACCCCAGAGATTACGCTGGACCCTGTGGGGCCTTGTGGGGAGGGATCAAGCAGGATGGGGGGCCCCCTGAGCATTTCAGAGGGGGCAGCTGTGCTGCCTTAGTCTGTCCCTGCCACCCCACCACCATGTGCCTCGGGTAGCCTGTGTTCTCTCCTGGAAAACGGGCCAATACCTCTGTGGAGCCATTGTGAGGTCCAGAGAGGAATGATGCCAAGAGCGGCACCTGGGAACCTACAGGCTGGGTGCTGGGGAGCTGGCCTCCCCGTGCCTCCCCAGCAGGCCTGGCACTCCTGGGTGATCAGCTGGTTCTCCGCTCAGCAGAACAAGGAATCTTTGCCAGCTTGGTGATTGGCTCACCCCACCGCACACATCCATGACTTTCCATGGCTCCCACTGCCCCCATGGCCTCTCCTGTCACCTGGCTCCCTCCCATCCTAGGGCCCTGCCTTGCACATGCACACTACCAAGCCTCCAACATGTTCCAGGCCCGCAGCTGGTCAGGCTGCCCTACCGGACCGCTCGGGAGTTCATCACCTGTGTGCTGTCCCCTCACTGCCGGGCCACAGTGCCCGGGAGCACTGGGCACTCTGGAGCACAAACTAGCAGAACCGATCCCCATGGTCAGGGTGATGGGGGCTTCATGAAGATGACCTTCCATTGGGTCTGGGAGGAGGAGGGGACCGCATGCCCAGGTTGGGGCAGAACAGCACAAGCAAAGAAGTGGGAAGAGGGTGGGGAGCGAGCACAGGGCACGGCACAGGCCCACAGTCCGTCCAGGAACACAAGAGCCACTCATGATGGAGGCACCGGCTCCCTGCCGGTGCACCCAGACCTCCCGGTGTCCCTCGCCTCCCTCAGGTCCCTCCTGTGTGGGGGGCAGAGGCAGGAGGAGCTCTGTAACCCACGCAGCTCCAGGACGCCCAGCCTACCCCACCCCTGTGTGCCAGTTCCCATCTGGGCCTCAAGCGGGTGGGATTCACAGGGGGGCTCCACGCTAGGACCCAAGGGTGTGGGGGAGGGGCAGGCCCAGGCGGACAAAGAGTCTGGACGGGGAGGGCACAGTGCCCGCCCAGAGGAGACAGTGGCTCAGTGTCCAGCCTCCCCCAGGCGCACAGTGGGCTCTTGTTCCCAGACGGCCCCTCGTGGTGGAAATCCCAACAGCATCTCCGCTGCGCTGACCCCTCGGTGCAGGGAGAAACCACAGTCCAGGGGCGGCCGGCCTGCCTGGGTCACACAGCATCTGAGTCACTCTGGCAACATCCGTGGCCGCCCACCCGGCCCAGCCCAGCAGGAGACACCCAAAGGGGCATCTGGAAGTAAAGCAAGGATTGCTGACAAAGCAAGTGCCAACGGCGGGGACCCAACCCAGCAGGGGGGGTGGGGGCACAAAACCACACTGCACCTCAGGGTGCTGCACCCTAGGCACTTCGAACAGCCCAGGACGAGGGTGGGGCAAGAGATGAGGCTGAGGGACGAGGGCCCCACAGAGTCACAGGACCTCGGGAGGGGTGGGAGCTGCTGCAGCCATCAGGGCAGAGGGCGGGTGGGGCGGAGGGGAGGGTCCCACCGCCCCAGGTTCCTGCTTTGGAGCTGACTAGGGATCCTTCAGGCTAGCACCGTGCAGGGCGCAGGAGGGGCCAGGGAGCAGGAGCCAGTGCAGGGCGGCAGGGCCCACAGCGCTTGAGCACAGAGGACCTGCTCAAGGAGCAGGAAGGCTGGCCATGCCCGCCGGCTCCGGCTCCAGGGGAGCAACCTGAGCAAGGGGAGAGCCCAGGGATCAGAGGGCCCAGAGCCTGGCCGCGAGCAGGAGCCATTGGGGGGACTGGGGACGGGACCCTTCAGAGATGCCGCTTGGGAAGGTTGTGGCCAAGAGGCAGGAGGAGACTGGGAGAGGTTCCGGACTGCGCAGGCCTGGCCGGCGGCCACGGCGGATGTGAAGCTGGCTCCTTAGGTGTGAGCAGCAGCCACCACTGCACTCGGGCCTTCCCCGCACGCTCGCAGGACGATGCTGGCAGAGGTCGCTGAAGGCCAAGTGGATGGCCCGGCCCCGGGACCAGACCTGCCAAGCCTGGGCTCCCTGTCCTGCCCGGCCCGGCCCAGGAACCGCCCACCACTGAGGTCAGCTGGAGCAATGGCCCCACCCCGGGACACTTGCCCCAACGTGTCCCCAGCTCACCTGAGCACAGTCCCAGGAGAAGCGGAGAAGCCAGCTCCTCCAACCGCCCCACGGGAGCCCTGATCTCTGACCCCGTCTTCTGCTTGACCCCAACCCAGCTCTCCCCGGGGAGCGGGGATCACAGCTGTCGGGCAGCCTGGAGTCCAGTCCTTCTCCACCACGTGCTACTGGGCGGCAAAGTGGGGGTCGCCTGTCTGAGCTTCCCTTATTGGGAAGGATATGGGCCAGGCCCAACCCTCCCCCACCCTCCCAGTTACCCCTCTACCTTTCTTGGAAGAAATGAGGTTCAGGGGGGAGCGGGCAGGCCTGAGACCTGGCCAATAGCCTGCGTGGTGCCCTCTTCCCGTCAGAAGGAGGACACATCAAACCCTGCCTGCCAATGTCACCCGCCCCTTCTGTCACCCCAGAGGGGCATGCGGAGGGCCAACAACGGAACAAGAGTCTTCCTGCTGTAGGGGGCCCTGCAAGGGCAGGGACCTGACCTGGGAGGGGGTAACAGGGAGGAAAAGGAGCACTAGCCCCGGGTGGGAGGTCCTGTCCGAGTTTCAGCAGGGTTACCAACGCCAGAATCAAGCCTCTAACCCCGCTGGGTCTGACAGAAGCAGATATAACCCGGGGCTGGGGAGCACCGAGGCTCAGAGAGGTCAAAGGTCCCACCCGTGCATGCTGCCGTCAGCAAGGGGGTAGGGGCAGGGACACAGCTCTAGCAAATTCCAGGCGTGACAATCTGGGGTCTAACTGCATCTCTGGAGTTGGGTGAAATCAGCCCCTCAAACTGCAGGGAAGAGGTCCAGATCCCAGCAACACGTCTGGTCACCAGGTCCCCCAGCAGTGCCCCTGACTGAGCACACAGTACTCCCTGGTGCCCAGACACTGTCAGGGCTCAGCAACACCCTCCCAGCACACACGGCTGCTGGATAGTGCTGGAGAGGGGTACCCGAGTCCCCGAAGTCTGTTATCGGAGCAGAAATGGCTTCAGTCAGCACTATCCTGACACACCTGCTTCAAACCAAAGATCCTTGACCGACCTACTGAATTGTCACGGGCCTTGGGAGGGGTCACCTGTGTCCATCTTACAGATGAGGAAACTGAGGCTCCGAGAGGCCAGTCACTGCCCAGTGCTGATGCCCAGGCTCCTGCAGCCTCCAAGGGAGTTTAAAGCCGTGGGCCCTGCCGGCCCAGGAGCTGTGTGCCTGCCTCGCTGGCCCTGGCCACACCCCCAGGTAAGGGGCCGACCTCAGGGTTCCTCAGGGTGTGCAGGGCTGTCAGGCCCCCTTGGGCTCTCGCTCCACCTTCTGCAACCCAGAGCATCTTAGTTCAGGGAGGAGGAAGTCGCCCGCAAACACACCCAACCCAGAAAGCAGGCAGAGCCGAGGAATCCGATCCTTGGACAGAAAGTTGATCCTGTTACAGGCACCAGAGTGGGGAAACCGGAGCTGGCATGGAGGAGCCCCTCACATCCCAGGAGAACAGCAACGGGGTGGCAGGAGGGGGTACCCTGAGCAGCAGTTGGAGCTGAGAAGACCCTAAGAGGGCCCCAAAAGGCAGGGAGCCCTGGGTGATGCCCTCCGAACCAAGGGTGCCCCTGGAATGCATGCTCCCCAGGACAGAAGCTTGTCTGGCCAGCACACTAAGGCCGGGTGAGGAGTGTGGGTCCAGTGCTGCTGGCCTTGGTCAGCCCGTCTGAGCAGTGGGCGGCCCATCAGCCCCTGGAGCTGCTTAAAGGCACTGGGAAGGGGCCTGGGGCCTGACACCTCCAATCTGGGGCCACTTGACTCCTGTAACCCCCTATCGGCCCCTGTCCGGTTCTCCGGGATAAGGACCCAGATTGCCCAGAACAATTCCTGGTGGCAGGGGGCTCAGCCTCAGGAACCTCTTGGGCCCCAGCCAGCTGCTGGGTTCCCTGGCTTCCTCTCAATCTCTGGGTGGGGGTAGGGGGCTGAGGCTAGTTCCATGGGGGTGGAAGGAACCCAGCATATAGCTGAGCCAAACCTGAAAAGCCAGTTTCATCCTGAATCTTCTCTGCCAGGAAGTCCCAAGATGGGGGGGGGGGGGGGGGGGG